CGGTCACGTGACGGAGAAGCGTGGCTTGACGTGTGTCAAGCGTGACACAGACGGATGTAAAGGAGAATCCGGTAATTTTTCAAAATAAAACATCTTTCGTATTCCGAAATAAATAAAACGGAATTAAGGCAAGTTCTTTCTGTGCGGCCCGGTACCAAATGCCCTGCGGACTGGTACCGGTCCGCGGACCGGCGGTTGGGGACCCCTGCTATAGACTACTATCCAGAGACTTTAAAAAAATGTTTTAGGTATAAAATGGCTTCTTTCAAACAGCCTCAATGATAATCAGCCTGTGAAAATGAAGCTGCTGCTGCCAGGACTGCATTTGTGGGTAACAATGCAAAGAATTGGGGGGGGGGGGATAATCTTTAATATCGACTAAAAAGTCCAAAATCATGATAGTTGTGAAAATGCCGACTCCATGAAATGACAACATCGAGACGTGAAGGTCGCATTTGAAACTTTTTTTTTTCTCCTCTCCTCAATGTAAACAGAGGAGCGAGGAAGTTGCAAATAAATAAAATTAGATACTTTCCACTCCCTTTCCACCATCTAGCATAGCTGCAGTTGTAAATCGTCTCGTCTCGTTCTATTGCGGCAGTATTAAGGAGCACAAACGACAAACCGTCAATACTTTTATGAAAAAAAGCTGCACACTAAACATACACGCAAATAAAGAGACTGCGGAAAGCAGCATGCGAGAATCCGACTTTCGTGCCTTCTAAATTTTCACGGCGTGTGAAATTCGTCCCTGGAGAGAAGCGCACAGATCAAGCAACCGCTCAATGAAGATGCTACCGGCACAATAATAATAATATGCGCATATATATATATATATATATATATACAGGTGTCTGATGGCTTCTCTGTTTTAATATAGTCTTAATTTGTGATTTGTGCGCTGCTTATGCAGAACCAACATCTAACGTGAGCTGTCACTTGGCTCACTTCCGCCCCCCCAGCAATATGTCATCGGCGGCTTATTCATCGTTGCTGTCACACGGCTGACTCAAAAACAAAAAAAACTTTTTGGGTAAAGAATAACACCAGTGGTACATTTGCCGCATCAAAGCAGGCAGTTAAAATAATTAGTTGATGTAATCCATCCATTTTCCGAATCGATTTTTCCTCACAAGGGTCGCGGTGGGGGGTGCTGGAGCCTATCCCAGGTGTCTTCGGGTAGTGCGCGGGGGACACCCTGAACCGGTGGCCAGCCAATCGCAGGGCGCATGAAGACGAACAACCATCCACGCTCACGCTCACACCGAGGGACAAATTTGAGTGTTCAATCAGCCTGCCATGCATGTTATTTGGACGTGGGAGTAAACCGGATTACCCGGAGAAAACCCACGCAGGCCCGCGGAGAACATGCAAACTCCACGCAGGGAGGCCAGAGCCGGGATCGAAGCCACGACCTCTGCACTGTGGGGTCGACGCGCGAACCACTGCAACACCGAGCCGCTAGTTGACATAATCGTCTCAACAATTTTACAGTCGGGCGATGGAAACGAAGCGATCTTTCATCCGGTTTACCATTCCAACCGCTTTCGTGCTCGTCTTTTGTGATGAAAGGCGTCGCCTGGATTTCTCTCCTTGTCCACTAATTCTTCTCGGCTGACACTGGCAGCACGGCGATATGTGACAGCGCTCCCGCTGCTACTTAAGCTTTTTGAAGCATTGTTGGCGATGCCAAATAAAGAAGTCTGGTCGCTTGTGTCTAAAAAACACCGCTGCATAGGAAATGTCGCTCGTTCATTCTCCAGGTTAATTATCTCTCGAAACATCTGGCTTCCCCCGATGGATCCATATGCTTATTTATTCCTTGCTGTGTTTCTCATCTACGTTTTCAGCCCGTAGTTTACCTTCAGGGAGATGCCATCTGCCTTGTTTACTTTCCTCCATCTTTTAGTCTCATCACGTTGCCGGTCGGCGTGCGTATGTCAACATCGCTGTGGTGCTTTGTAAGCTCCCCCTCCGCTGTCAGCCGAATGACTCGTTTGTCAGCGTCGCCGGTGGCTTCGGTGACGAGTGAGTGACACGTCAATCGCGATACCGGCAAGAGCATCTTCTGACCTGGGTCAGCATGCCAGTGGCTGCCTGGAGCCAAAGATGCCGCGTGCTGCCCTAAACGTCCTTGTTGAGAGCGCACTGTTTTTGAGAAAATGAACACTGATTAGGAATCATGATTTTTGAGGGATCATTTAAAGCCACTATCAGTAGCGATCGATTACTGTAATTTCCGGACTATCAGCCGCGACTTTTGTCACACGCTTTCAACTCTGCGGCTTATTTCATGAAGCGGCTTATATAAAGACTTTTCTAACGGCTGCCTGTGTACCGTCTTTCTTTGTAAATATCTCATGTTACAATATGGGCACCTGCGGCTTATACACAGGCGCGGCTTATGTGTGTACAAAATATTTTTTTCCTTTAAAAATGTAGTGGTGCGGCTTATAATCAGGTGCGGTCTATAGTCCAGAAATTACGGTATATGCTAGCGCCACACATGAAGATAGTTCCGTGCTTTCGGCATATTGACCAGAATGCCCCCATTGCCAACCTCCCCACATCATCAAAGCTCCTCTTTAAACTCGATTAGCAGCCGTCTCGACAAGTTGGACCTTCAATCTGCCCGTGTGGTTCAAGTGGTTAATGAATCCATCAATCAGAGGCTTCAAGGATGCCGACTCCTCCGTTTCCCACTTTTGGTTCCTCCAGGTCCACCTGGATTCACCCGACTGCCCTTTTTCGTGTCTGCGTTGCACTTTCCGTCGTCTTCGTTCCACGGAGACCTTGAATCAATTACCGAAGGTCTGCGGCTGTACAAAGGAATGATTTGCTGTTGGACGACGTTAAACTGTTAAATGCCCAAGCGCCTCAGCAAGAGTTGAGGCGGTATGTCGAGAAGCGAGTCATTATCTTAATTTTTTTTTTTTTTTGCGGCCCGTTGGGCCAGTGGTTAGCGCGTCGACCTCACAGTGCAGAGGTACCGGGTTCGATTCCAACTCCGGCCTCCCTGTGTGGAGTTTGCATGTTCTCTGTGTGGGTTTTCTCCGGGTACTCCGGTTTCCTCCCACATTCCAAAAACATGCACGGCAGGCTGATTGAACACTCAAAAATGTCCCGAGGTGTGAGTGTGTGCACGGATGGTTGTTCGTCTCTGTACGCCCTGCGATTGGCTAGCAACTGGTTCAGGGTGTTCCCCTGCCTACTGCCCGAAGACGGCTGGGATAGGTAGCAGCACGCCCCCGCAACCCTTGTGAGGATAAAGCGGATCAGAAAATGGAAATCTATAGTTTGCCAGACTGCTCATTTAGAAAATATCGTTGAAACCGTACCCCGAGTGTATGTGCGCTCGAAATCGTTTTCAGAAATCGATTTCTTGGAATAATTTTTCATCGTAACTCATATTTCAACGGCATAAATGCAGTTAAACTATTTCAATTTACGAAGACGCAATTTTCTGATATTTTCTGTGTTCCGTACAGGGCTGCGTGGTTATCTCTGCAATTGTACTGACAGCGCATCAGCTATCTGTCTTAACATCTGCGGCTGGCATCCGAACGAGCAACTCGGTGGTAAAGCATTTATAGGGAGAGGAAGAGAAAAAAAAACAAACAACCGCACGCTTGGACGCTCTAAGCTTAAATGTGTCCTGGGTTGATGATGGTGGCGTTGCTATCAATTGAAGCTATCAGTGATTGTGGTTATTTACGGTTCAGGCGCTTATATTAGCATCAGCCCGGGGACAGCTGCTTAATCTAACACTCTTATCAGATTTATGATGACCCCCCCCCAACCCCCCGTCTCCCTCCCAGAGGCTCATGGACCCACATCAACAAGTCTGGGGATTTTGTGACAAGATTTGGTCGACCCACTGATTGTATGCGTCACAGTCATGTCTAAGAAATCTGATATCGAAGAGTACTGATGTGGCAGTTTTGCCGACCTGGGGGGGGGGGGGGGGGGGGAGAGAAAAAAAAATGCTCTTGTTTACTCTCACCACCTCAGATTCGCAACCCCGATTAGCACCTGTGCCACTGCGCTCAATGCTAATTGGAACTATTAGGCGACTAGGGGCCTCCTAATTTATGCAGCTGGGGGCCGTCACCGAAACCTCATTTGGAAATTTCGCCCTGATGACGAAGATCATCAATTACAGACGTGGTAAAGCAGGAAATCTGATCACACATCTTAATGATGATCCCTCCTCCCCCCCCCCCCCCCACCGCCTCAGCCCTATTTGAATGATCTATTCAGGACCATTGTTTTCCCTCACGAGGGGACGGATTTTTCTTTCCGCTTTCTTTTTTTTTTTTTTTCCTGTTCTTATTTGTGCGTGTGGATTCCTCCGTGTGGTTTGGAATAATTAGGTCAAATATCACGCACAATTTGTGCAGCATTAGGCGGCTTGCAGTACATTGATCCAGCAGCTGAACCACGAACTAAGATGTTTTTTTGTTTTTGTTTGTTTTTTTTGTTTGTTAATGAGCCGAAATAAGAATATTGCCCTCCAAAACGTCTTTTTCTGCTGTTGCTGTTGAAAGTAAAGTGGTCAACGATCGACCGTCACTTTTGCACATGCTGCAGCATTGAAAGTGAGCTCTAAGAAATAATTGACAGAGAATGAAACCACGATAAACACGATCCACATGCGAACTCAATTGGCTTGCGGTTCTTTGTAAATTTGCAGTATCCACTAGGAGGGGAAAAAAAAAATACGCAAGCCAAGTTTGGATGTTGTATAACATGCGAGACACATTCTGTTATGTCAGACGTAATGTGTGAAAAGCTTTTTGCGCATTTAATGTTTTATAGAAAGCGAGACAACAGATTCACTCCGGTTATGTAACAAGTGTTGATGTTGGATTGATACACCGGACTTGTTATTTAGTGTCTTTGGTTGGACTACGTTTTGAATGGGCACGTCGTTGCCAGTTGCTGCAGCTTCATTGATATGAACTGCAAATGATTTATTAAAAAAAAAAAACAACATTTTTTTGCTGTTGCGGCGAGCTTCAAGCCTGCCTTGCATACCTCTGGGCCGTCTTGAGTGACACATTCCTCCCACTCCAACTGTCATAATTCATGTGATATTTTTCTAATTACTCTGAAAAAAATGACTGAACTTGTGTCGCCGACTGCGCTGGCGCCGACGTGCGTCACTCTAAGTGGCACAAATGGCTTTCATAGATGCCTCCGCGTTGCCTTCATGGATCAACGGTGTTACCTTTTTGCAAATCAATACAGGGACGGGGGATGCAGGGACAGATTATTATATAGCTGGCACAATGGCTTTGCTAGTTTACGGTTGATTTTTTTTTGCGATTCATCACAGAGAGTGGGAAAATGTTCACGTAGACTGCTAGTTGGAATTATTCCGTTTCCTGCGCATGGGCTAGGTAGAGTGAATAGACCTTTTACGACGGTGTCATTTTGAGCCTGTAAAAAAAGTTGACTTAATATGACTTCCTATAGGGGGTGGGGAAAAAAATGGAATTTGAAAGTTGGAGTTATTGATTGCGGGTAAAAGAACAAGCGAGGTCACTGCGACCCCATCGACACATCCGTCGTAAATCAAGATCTCATTTGGTGATTAGCACACGGCGGGCCGATATCATCACGTGACAAAGTGATTACAAAATGAAAGATGGAATTCCATTTGACGTCCTCACCCCTTCCCACAAAAAAATAAATATAGATTTTGTCCGTTAGATAAATAAATTGGAAGGTAGGCTAACCTTTCCTGATTTGTTGTTTTTGCTCAATAGCAGCAATAGGGTCTCTCCTCATCATTCCTTAAAATGATCTATTTCTATCTATATTGTCTATCTGCGATTAAAGGGCAATTGTGGGGGGGGGGGTGCGGGGGGGACAATCTGTATTGCCCATCAGGGGACATAGATCATCTCCGCTGGTGGCGGAGAGATCGTTTTGCTCGGAAATATCCTCCCTCTCCATCGGCTCTGCTCAAATGTCCTTTTGAGGAAGCGGCTGCGTAGGAGGTTTGGATTTCAGGACCGTGAAATATTTGAAGACCACGAGGGGGACAGCGGCGTGATTCTTTACCTGATTTTGGACGTGAGGCGGTTGTAGAATTTGGATCGGTTCAGTTCACGGTAGTTTGGAACGTTAGACCCTGACAATAGTGTGACATCATAGCCGTGTGAAATCATTGTCATGGACGTCCTTAGTTGCAACAAAAAATGGAGAGAGGGTGCCTCGGTTCACACTTGTATTCCTCGTATGCCTTTTTTTTTCCTGTTCGTCCGGTTTGAAACAAATAGTGAGACGGTGAGTGAATGTTGACTCAGCCGAAAGTTGACTTTCGAAACACTGGAATCGCCAACGTTGCGCCCTTCCTTGGCCCTATCTGTTGCATTGCAGAGGTTCAATGGGTAAAGTGCTTCATTCATTCCTATTTTGGGCGGGGGAGGGGGGGAGGGGCTTCGAGGAAAGTTACCAAGTGACGCGTCGCCACCGTCAACCCAATTCTAGATTTTTGTGAGCACGCCTCAAGTTAGCAAAGTGTGTGTACATAACAATGCACGCATACTAATCACATTGAAGCAGGAAAGAAATTCAATCGTCTGCAATTTTCGGACTTGGATATAACGACTATCTTGTGTCTCTTAATCTCGGCGCATCCGGTTTCTCTTAAAACAGAAGCACCAACGGGCGTATTAATCATGGCTAATTGAAGACCCCGCTGGGAGTAAATGAGCCTTAATCTGACAGCTCAGTGCGTACTATTCGCGCTGGAGGGGGTGTGAGGCATGTGGATGGCACATTTCGGGTTGGATTTATAGAAGCAGTATTTACAGTCGAGTCCCTTTTTTTTTTTGGAATGCATTGTTAGACGTGTGTAACCCTGGCTGACTTTCATCCCATTTGACAGATAAGCTCTAAATCGATATATTTTTGCCTTTCAGACGAGTTCTGCGCCTGCTGATGAAAATGGGAAAAAAATACAAGGTAAAGCCAGAAGGCAAGTCCCGAACTCAAAAAAAAAAAAAAGATTCTATGCATTTCAATTTTGTTACTTTTGAAAAAGCTTCCGGGAAAGATAAGCCTGTGATGTGTAAAAAAATAAATAAATGTGGCTGTATAAGCAGCTGCAAAAATGGAATATGCCCACTTTTCAGTCAAGGTCTCTGGGAAAAGCGACAGAAATTGAAACGGTTTTCACAAGGCACGCGGCAAAGTACTGCCGATCAATCGTACGCATTCACACATTCCTATAACACCTTCAGCCCATTAAATTTGTGTGACTCCAAAAAAAAAAAAAAAAATTCCTTCCCAGTGGTTATGATGATATATATTTTTTTACACGATAACAAATCACAGTTAAAAATGAACAGTTTCCAGTTCTTTAGAATCAGCAGGCGAACAGATTATTGTGCCTTTGTGGGAACCTGTGACATTGTCAGGGTCTCCATGGTAACGGTGAATCATATACCATCACAATATCAAAAGACTGGTAAAAGTGAAAGCAAAATTATCTTTCCTGCTGAAATTATTTTTGAAAAATTTCCTACTAGAATTACAACCAGGTCAACTGATACCCTTGCGCCTTACCCTGGGTGACGTGCGTGTCGCGGCGGCCGACAACGAGGCGCTCTAATGCGGCCACACTCGTGTTTATGCCTTATTTTAATAGAGTGAAAAAAAAATGTTTTATCGTAGTCATAGACAATCTTCCGCCCCAGTCCAGATGGTGGTGGCAGCGCACAATTTTACAACCCCCTGCCCATCACGCATACAAACGCCGCCAAAACACGTTAAGCCTCGCCTGACGCGCCATATTGCCAAAACAAGCACTTTCCCCCCCCTCAATGAATCTCGATTGTAGCAATAAAGCATAATGAGCTACGCTGCAAATTGGAAAGACGGTGGGTGTAACCGCGCTGAAAACGAGCAGCACACATGGCGCGCGCTAATCCCCGTCGTGATTAACACCCCTCGCCTTTGTCTTTCGCCGTCTTCTCTGCTCGTGGCGTCTCTGGCAATCGCCTTTGTCTTTCGCCGTCTTCTCTGCTCGTGGCATCTCTGGCAAGTGTGTGTGTGTGTGTTTTGATGTTAATCTGTGGAAGGGGTGATCTTCGGATTTCCATATTTCATTTCTTTGCAAATATCATGGCAACCACCGTTTCGTGTATGCGTGACAGCTTTTGTCCGATCGGTGTAAAAATAAAGAGATAATTGCAGTTGAAAGTATCCCGAGCTTCCGAACGGATTTCGACTCTACGGGGATAGATTTTAGCTGCTTTTTCACGCTTAATTTTAAAACGAATTTTTTAACGCCGGGAATGTCAGGAACATTGATAGAAAAGCAAAAATGTATGAATGATATGCGTTATGCTGCTGCACGCCTTAACCACCCGGGGGCAGTATAATGACGACAGCAGAAACCTCAACAGTAATTTGCCCTTTTTTGGAGATGATAAAGAATATATGCAAGTATTATGTGTACATTTTGCTTCAGTTACAACACTTCCATAGAGAAGCTAATTGTTAGCATGCCAATGGTATTTCCTGTTAAGAACAAGATAGCCGACGTCAAGAGAAAACGGACGTTTTATATACACAAATTGTATTTCTCTTATGTTTAGTTTGACAGCAAAAAAATGCAAATGTGAGTGTCAAGAAACGACTCGACGCTTCTTTTGAAAATTTTGAAAAACTGCTCAATTGCCAAACAGATGCTTGGTATGAAAAAAAAAAAAAAAAATTCCTTCCCAGTGGTTATGATGATATATATTTTTTTACACGATAACAAATCACAGTTAAAAATGAACAGTTTCCAGTTCTTTAGAATCAGCAGGCGAACAGATTATTGTGCCTTTGTGGGAACCTGTGACATTGTCAGGGTCTCCATGGTAACGGTGAATCATATACCATCACAATATCAAAAGACTGGTAAAAGTGAAAGCAAAATTATCTTTCCTGCTGAAATTATTTTTGAAAAATTTCCTACTAGAATTACAACCAGGTCAACTGATACCCTTGCGCCTTACCCTGGGTGACGTGCGTGTCGCGGCGGCCGACAACGAGGCGCTCTAATGCGGCCACACTCGTGTTTATGCCTTATTTTAATAGAGTGAAAAAAAAATGTTTTATCGTAGTCATAGACAATCTTCCGCCCCAGTCCAGATGGTGGTGGCAGCGCACAATTTTACAATCCCCTGCCCATCACGCATACAAACGCCGCCAAAACACGTTAAGCCTCGCCTGACGCGCCATATTGCCAAAACAAGCACTTTCCCCCCCTCAATGAATCTCGATTGTAGCAATAAAGCATAATGAGCTACGCTGCAAATTGGAAAGACGGTGGGTGTAACCGCGCTGAAAACGAGCAGCACACATGGCGCGCGCTAATCCCCGTCGTGATTAACACCCCTCGCCTTTGTCTTTCGCCGTCTTCTCTGCTCGTGGCGTCTCTGGCAAGTGTGTGTGTGTGTATGTGTGTGTGTGTGTGTTTTGATGTTAATCTGTGGAAGGGGTGATCTTCGGATTTCCATATTTCATTTCTTTGCAAATATCATGGCAACCACCGTTTCGTGTATGCGTGACAGCTTTTGTCCGATCGGTGTAAAAATAAAGAGATAATTGCAGTTGAAAGTATCCCGAGCTTCCGAACGGATTTAGACTCTACGGGGATAGATTTTAGCTGCTTTTTTATGCTTAATTTTAAAACGTAATTTTCTTACGCCGGGAATGTCAGAAACATTGACAGAAAAGCAAGAATGTATTAATGGTATGCGTTATGCTGCTGCATGCCTTAACCACCCGGGGGCAGTATAATGACGACAGCAGAAACCTCAACAGTAATTTGCCCTTTTTTGGAGATGATAAAGAATATATGCAAGTATTATGTGCACATTTTGCTTCAGTTACAACACTTCCATAGAGAAGCTAATTGTTAGCATGCCAATGGTATTTCCTGTTAAGAACAAGCTAGCCGACGTCAAGAGAAAACGGACGTTTTATATACACAAATTGTATTTCTCTTATGTTTAGTTTGACAGCAAAAAAATGCAAATGTGAGTGTCAAGAAACGACTCGACGCTTCTTTTGAAAATTTTGAAAAACTGCTCAATTGCCAAACAGATGCTTGGTATGAAGTGAGTCGTTTATATCTCCAAAAAAAAAAAAAGGCTAAATGGCAGCACATAATTCGTATCTTAAAACGACAAAGTATCAGCATTGTAATCCTCAATGATTTTCTTTTTTTTTTTTGTTCTGATGTGAATTTGGAGAGAAAATTATGCGAGATTATTTTCTTCTTTTTCATCTCCGTGACCTCACTGGCCCATTCGGTGTCGATTCGATGACAACGCGGTGCCGCGTCGGAGGCTCCTCAGCCGCTTCGCCGACTGATTGGGATTGACCGGCTATCCCGCGACCCATCTTCTTACCGTTAATTGCATTAGTGTAATCCGCCTCGGAGTCGGCAGCGACTCTCAGCGAAGGCGACTCGACTTGTTTGGCTCGTGCTCCACCTCGCCGTGCCAGGAAAACCGCCGCCAAACAAGAGCAAAACGTGATGTGGGGATGCTCGAGCACTCGGTTCGTCGCAATAAGCGCGCGAGGTTGTTTGTCAACACCAAGCTAACAGTGGCCTCGGCGTATTAACGACATTTATTTTGGCACGGGGTGACGTTACATCAGGCGCTTGGCACGTTTGGCTTGCTTGTATGACTGCTGCTTTCTGCCAGGGATTATTTAGCAGACTCCCGTTTTTATTATACTTTTTTTTTTTCTTTAAATGACGCTTTTTCGACTTGAAGCCAATAATAACAAACCTCCCGTTCTGGACGCTAACACAGCGACAAGTTGGCTCATTGTTTGACGACAGGAAGTGTTCATACGAATTGCTCATCTTTAATATGATCGCAGAGGTTAAGCGCTGGCCATGACACAGCACAGAAGCCGAGCGATCCGAAGATAAGACGGTGACTCTTAATTACCGTGTCGGTAATCTCATTGGGAGGTTTTTTTTTTGTTTTTTTTTTGCGCACAAACACAAGAGGATGCCATATGCGCCGCTCGGATCTGTCAACTCCCATTCAGGAGATTCGAGCCACTCGGCGTCCTCTTTACTGTCCATTTGTGTCGAGTATTTACCCCCTCCCAGTGGCAAACCGGAACAAATGTTAAGGCTAATTACTCCTGCTTGGGAAATGACCGTCCCTGAGACTGCAGTCTTGAGAATTACAAAAAAAAAAAAAAATTTACAAGGCCTGACGTGTAGCTTGAATAAAAGGGCGGCGAAGCGAGCGGACAAAGGGACTCTTTCAGTACTTTTATTGTTCGCGCACAAGAAGATGGCGTGACGGCCGATGGGACGGATTAGTCAGACCGGGAGTTAAAACGAAGGCACATTCATGCTCACAAAAATGTGCAAAAATTGATTTCGCTCAAGGTTGTGGACAATTCCGGTCCGCGAGGGCCGCTCGCTATCCTGCATCTTTTAGATGTTTCCCTGCTCCAACACAGCCGATCGGAATGATCCGGATCGGGCTTCGGCAGAGCTTGTTAGTGCCTCGTAGTACTTGTACTTTTCTCCATGTAAAAAAAAAAAAAAAAAAAGTCACTAATGTTCAGCTGAATGCGGTAAGTCAGTATTGCAAAAAAAAATATATATATATTAGCGTGAAAGTAATTGTTCTGCAGAGAGAATGTTTCTTTTTGGTTATTTCGTTATTTTGGGGGGGGGGTGGTGAAAGCAACCCATGCCGCACGCTCCGGTTCATTTGTTGCTCATGACAATTTCAACTGCCGTGCCACTTGATTTTTTTTTTTTTTGGAGATGCTTAATGGAATATTCCATTCGGAAGTCAAAGTGTTTTTATACCGCCGCTCTGCATGCGCTTTGGTAGGTGGGGATGAATCAAAACAAAACTATGTTAATGAATGTGTTTTTCCTGCTACATTTTTTTTTTTTTTTTTTTTTTTTTT